TAGACTGTAAAATGTTGTAAAACAATACTGGTGTATTGTAACCTTTTGTAAAATACATTTTGAACATTTTATTTAATTTAACAATGAAATATTGTTTAAACAATGAGTTCCTTATTAAGGAAATGGACGTGGTGTGTAAGGGAGAGATAAATAGACTGTAAAATGCTGTAAAACAACACTGGTATATTGTAACCTTTTGTAAAATACATTTTGTACAGTTATCTTGTAATAAATAATTGATTTGTTAATAAATAATTGCATTTCTTCAGTTTTCCTGATGTTGAAGTCCTTTCCTTGATTCCCATAGTGTCCTGGAAGGTCTATCTGTAATTCATACGAAGGAAACATTAATTTGTTTAATTTTTAATAAAAGTTATTAACAATTCCTGACTTATCTACTGAATACGACAGTTAATTCAATACAAAACCACCGTATTGAGCAGTTTTATTAAGGTACGTCATACGATAATTTTATTTAAGACTTCCAATAATTATAAACAACCACCTAAATTGTTATTTAACAAGAAACACTAATTATCCTACTATTAAAATACTTGAAAATAAACCAGAAACTTTATTTTACCGTCTACATCATTAGTATTGTTAAAAGCATTAAAAATTTATTATAAATATCAATTTTAAACTGGTTACTGCACGCATTTAAGCTCTAATTTACAATAACTATTATTAAAAGCGAAAAATTCAAAGGATTTCTATTTTTAAAATCAACCAACCTGATAATACTCCATTCCTGACGATGCGGTCGATGATACTCTCGATCCTTCCGCTTTGAACGCAGCCGGCAGACTGACAAGAGCGGAACAATCCCTCTGGTCCCTTTTAGAACTCCGGAATTAAATTCTTTCAGTCGAAAACTGCGTGATCTCTAAGGTTCCTCCGCCTATTTGGTCTGGCGATGACGTCAGAAGCCTCAAATTTAATTTGCCAGAGAACAGAATAGTAACTCGACTATCGCCGTACATATAATAAAACAATTGTACCTAAGAATTAACAATAAAACGAGAAGAACAATGTGAAAGGCATGGCAAATTTAGACTCTGATACGAATAGAAAGGGGGAAATATGGTGATATAATGAAATCAATCAGATATAAATGAATTGAATCGGAAGAACACTCGTGAAATGTCGTTTTATCGTTTATTTTATATCGCAACATAAAATTTGTACAAATAATAATTCGTAATAATATCGTAACTATAATGGACGATAATTGATATATATGTATATTGTGTCGATCGATATATATCAATTTCAAATTTGCACGCGACACACGTGGCGGTGAATGGCGCGCGCGCGCTTTTCTAAAACGCGTCAAGCGTCGTGGAGGTGCGCGCGTACCATGCGGCGCACACGCGACACAATGATCACTCCAACCGACGTTCGGTACGGCAGGGACGCGTTCGATGGTGCGGAATAATTTCGCGTCGAGCGCGTGTTCTTTCGCGTATTTTTTTTTTTATATTTGGTCGGTCGGTTTGTCGTTGAAATGAAGGGCGGAAGAACGGTGATTTCCCATCGCTTCCGGAGACGATGACGTTTAACAATAATCGGCGGGATTTGTTTTAGAGAACGGCAGAAAATCTACGTTTAACACATCTCGTATCTTTTCGTCCGTTCTCCACGCTATATATATATATATATATCACGTGTTCATAAGTCGAAGATAAGACAGAATAAAATTCGAACAAGAGTGTAAAGATAAAAAGAAGTGTTTAAAGTATATCAAAAGATAGAATTGTAATAGCGGCGAATAACAAAGACACCGTCCCGCAGTCGATAAAAAAGCTTGCCCGTTCTTCCGAACGATAAAACAGAAATCATCTTCGTACATCTCGGCGAAGAAATGAGATCACAAGTCGAAAGGAACGAACGCGTACGATCCGGCTGGTCCTATTTTGTTTTTCTCCATTCTTTCCTTCTCTTCTAATATGCACACACCTCTCTCTCTCTGTCCCTCTCTCTCTCTCCATTCTTTTTTTTCTTCTTTTACTATGTAATAGCGCGCGCGATATATTTTGACACGAGTCCTATAACACGCGAGAAATTGAAACACGATTCGTATCTTCTTCTTCTTCATTTTTTTTTTCCGTTTTTTTTTTCATTTCTTTTCGTCATTTTTCATCGACGAACGTCGGCGGCGTTCGCTTAGATGCGGTACAAAAATAAGAACTTCAACGAAGAGTCGCTACGTACGCGAGATCCCTAGAGCGCGCCGCGTTTTATAATACTACAAAACTAAAGGGACGCACGGTAGATGCGCGAGCCAAGAAATATTCCTTCAACGTTAAAAGCGTAGCTATCGTTAGTTCGGGTTTCAACCACGTACGAATTAACGCGTGGTTCTTTTTCTCTCTAAACCGTGAAACGCGGAGTCGTGGCAAAGATTCGAAGTATTCCACTTTCTCTTCACAATCGTCCTTCTCCCCTCGTTCATTCGTTTGTATACACCGTATGTATATATGCATGTATGTGTCTGTTTCTATGTGTGTATGTTGAACGAAAGGAGAACGAGGAGCTCCTCGAGTTGCTTGGAATCCCTCAGGCCCTGTCCACGGCCGCGTCCCACTTCGTTAAGTACTGATACGTTTACCGTTATTTACAACAGACGAACGCTCGAAAGTTTCACTCAGGTAATGTCACGATCACGAACATTTCTTAGGATTCTCGATCTTTAAACCCTTCAGCTACGAAACAACTTGTTGGCTATTTATGAAAGACAATATTACAGGGTGGCGTTTCTCAACTATAGATAGACCTCGACAAATATAGCTCGGTAAATTAAACGTCTTTGAAATATTCATTTCTTTTTTAATTACTAGTCTTCATTTTACGTAAAGTTGCATAGAGGATGTGGCAATATTCATTATTTTATTCATCTATATTTATCAAGACGTTTCTTTCAGCGACTTCTATAAACAGTTCTTAAGAAACACCAGCGAAATTTCTCACTAAGCAGACATAATTCATCGAGACACACCGTTAAACGTACATAACTACCGTTGAACAATGAATCACATGGAAAAATGCACGCAGAAAATACGAAATTCCGATAGAAAAGTAAAACTGAAGCTAAAGGGTAGTGAAATACTCGTGTGTCAACCGGTTTCATCACTTTCGAGCCATCATGCTTATTGCTTATACTAAGCGCGTTCAACGGCGCAGTCAAAATTATGGTACATGTACAAGAAAAAACGCCCAGGTCTCGGTTTAGCCTGGGGTCTCACGAGGATCGTTCGTCGCTCGAGTCAGCGGCATCGTCCACGATATAAAAGTACAAAATGCGTAAACGCGTCGCAACTCGAACGTGTTCAATCTTTCTTCAACAACTTCATACAAGAACATGTTTGAATTCCAACGAATTTCACGTTATATACGAGAGTTTTTAAACCATCTTCGATCGCGTATTCTCTCTCTCTCTCTCTGCTTTTCCCGAACGTGTTATGTGTGTGTGTTTGTATGTATGGCCTCTTATGGCATCGCGTCAGCCTTTTACAGCGGAGATATATAACTCTTGTCTCTCTTTCAAGACTCGATCATCGTCCATCTTATCTTTCTTTCATTTTTCCTTTTTCTTTCACGGCTTACTTACAAACTACTTAAATATAATACACATCGAACGATATATCGGCGAGAAACGAAACTTCTCCCTTCAGCTGCCCTCTGTCTCACAATTGTTCCGACAGAATGATCACTCGTAGTGTCTGGATCCCGTCGTTATCCGTGAATTCTTCGCCTCTCTCAGAGGACTCGCCGTCTTTCAACGGATTCCTCGACGATCCATGCTCGCAACCCTCCGCTTCCGCCCTCTCCTCCTCGGGTGCATCCTCGTCGGAATCTTCGTTCACACTTCCCTCGTCCTCCTTATTTATCACATTCGTTTCCCTCATCGTCGACGCGGCGACCGTGGTCGTCGACGTGGTCACCGCGGTCGTCGTGGCTCTCGTAGACGGCAAACTGGAGCTTCCCTCGAACTCTGGAAACGTTGTCGTCGGTTTTCGAACGGTGAAAGGAAAATTGCAACAGGTCTCTGAATACCTAGCCACATTTTCCAAACCACCCTTCTCTTGCTCCTTTCTAGCTAAAGACAACCTGGACAAACGTCCAAGGGTTCTCGCTCTAACGTCGCAATTCTCATCGAGCCTGAACGAGGACACGTAACCAGATACGTCTAAATCAGACGACTCTATACCGTCTAGATCTCTGTCGAAGCTCTGTAGATCGTTCCTATGACGTTGCTCGAGAGAATCGAACGAAGCAGACTTCATAGGCCTACCTAGATTAACAATGGACAACGTTTCACAGGGATCCCTCGTCTCCTGTCCAACAACCATAGGATCTACCACAGGGAACACACCTGGTGATAAATTTCCCCTGGTAGTCTGACCGGGAATCTCAGGTACAGGATCTAACTGACCGATACACTCGAATCTTCTAGGGGACAATATTCCAGAAGGTAAAGTGTTCACACCAGACAAGTATCTAGACGATCTAACGGACGATCTTAATCCTTCGGGTTCGGTGATGCCTAACAATCCCGATTTGTCGATTCGTCTGACCGACGGAGACGCTCCGTCGGGATCGTCGTATGATCTTCCACCTCTAGATTGTCCACGACGAGCGGAATACTGATCACCGGTGTAAGGATGAGGGTTAGCAGCGTAAGTTTCACGATAAGAGAATTGCACAGGTGGTGGATAGGTGACGGTGGGATTTTCAGCGATAGTGATCGTCATGACGGTCGTGGCTGACGGTAAAGACGTGCTCGTGACGTTAGACGACGAGGACAGAGTAGCCTGTGGTGTTGTTACGATGTTATTCCACGTGGACATCGGTAACGGCTGCAACGGAGGCGGCGGCGGTGGCGGCGGCGGTGGCGATTCCACAGGGTTCTCGATCACAATCTCCATCCTATGGCGTAGAGGATCGCGGGAATGATCCACTGGATGGTAACCAGTGGTACCAGCCTGCTGCTAGGTAGGCAGGTCTCAAACGATTATCTCACGGATGATCCGCCGTCCCCGGCTGTTAGGGGTGGAATAACCTGATTCGAGGCTCTCGTCGTACGAAAGGCTAACCTGCTGAGGTGGCTTCGCATCCTCGTCGTAGTTCTCCTGATACGGTAGACCGGACACGTCGTACGGCGAATCTGTCGGACAAACAAGCCCGGAAGAGGCTGTAGAGAATGGGAAAACAAAAGAACGTCCACACCGTGTGTACGTGCACGGAGAGTTGAAACAGGGGAGACTGTGGGATCAGGACGAGAGGTAGGAATGGCCTCGAGAGATGCTTCGGGAATGTAGTACAAATGTACGTGGTCTGGGGATGTTGTTGAGAATTTTAAAGGTCTTAAATGTTTATGGAATTGGGTAAGGTTTGTCTTCTTTATCTTTTTTCTTTTTTCAGGGGATTGAAAGTGGAAGAGTTGAGACGCTTGCAGGATGTCTTTATTGAAACAATTGGAGCGGCGTTTCTTCGGAGTTTTTCGAATACTTGGGTTTAGTTCAGTGTCGAGGAAAAATAATTAATTCGTATATTATAATGTACGTTATTAATTTTTTTGTTTCTTTTTTTTTTTGAGGGGATTAAATTTTAGGGATACTTGGTTCTGGTTCAGTGTTGAGGAAAAATAATTAATTCGTGTATTATAATGTACATTAATAATTTTTTTCTTTCTTTCCTTTTTTTTTTGAGGGATTGAAAGCGGAAGAGTTGAGATGCTTGGAGTAAGATGTCTTTATCGAAACAACTGTAGCTGTGTTTTTTCGGTTTTTCGGAGTACGTGGCTTTAGTTCGGTGTTTTATAGCGTATTCGTTGACTGTTGCTTGTGGAAAAAGAATTAGTTTGTAGATTGCGATGCGCATTGTACTGGCTCTGATAGAATCGAAATGAAGAAAGTTTTTCTTTCAATGTGACGAGTACGCTGTTAGAAACAGCACGTTGTTTTCATATTTAAAATTTGTAATAACTATTATACGAGATTCGATACAATAGCTTTTGCATACAGATATTTCGGTTTTCTATTGTCTTCGTGGGTGTAAATTTTTCATGGGTCCTCAATGAAACTACTGATAACATTCCGCTGCTGTACTCATATCGATGTCAATACCAATTTGCAGCACGCTTTATAACAGAAATAGCATTGGAAAAAAAAAAGAAAAAAAGGAGAGACAGAATAGAACTCGACGAACCCCGAAAACATCTTCGTCAAAGGTTTTCATCTCTCTCTCTCTCTCTCTTTGGTGATACAAACATATTGTGCCCCGAAACAATTGGACAACGAGAGAAGGCTGGAATAAAAATGGGCAATCAGCAGTTTGAAGAAGAATTCTAATATCCGGAAACTCGCGAGACCGGCTCGAAGCTGCCTCGCGTAACTCCCCTTAACTTCGTTCGATCGGCTATTAAGCCTGTCAGGACTGTCGAAAACACCTTGAAACATTTTTCGATTCGAATAACGCTCGCCGGGCGATTCGAACTTTTCCGTATAACTAAATTGCCCGAGAACTTGCGACAGATAGAATTGAATGCTCATCGATGGACGTGGTAGGTACGGGTCGATCGTCGCGTTAAGGCTGAAGGCGAAAGGGAGAGGAAACGACAGAGAGAGAAAGAGAGAGGTTAACTGAGCAAGAGGACAAGAGAGAAAAATAACGAGAGGGGAGGAAAGAAAAGGGGAGAGAAGGAGAATAACGGAGGAAAAGAGCAAGAGAGAAACAGAGCAAAGGAGGAAAGGAGAGAGAGAGAGAGAGCAAGAAGTAAAGGGTGAAAAGGGGGCAACGGATGTCCTGCGGGCGAGAGCAAAGGACAGAGGAGCAGATATCAGGGTGAAACGGGGGGATGAAGAGAACGATCGCGGGCGGAAACGAAGAGTTCGACTAAAGAATACTACTCACCGACGTGTTTTTGAGACTTTACGACGGTGGCGAATGGTTCGGAGCAAAACTGCTGTCGACTTAGATTATGGCTCTCCCGGTAGTCCTCCCGCTGTGGGAGGTAATGAGGGTGGGTCGGGTAATCCGACTCGGTGGTTGCATAGCCGGCAAGATCGTAGGGCTGGCCAACGCCGTTCGCCGCCGCTGACTTCATCTGCCAGATGGAATCTTGCGAGTTCACTGAGCCCCCGTTATTCGAGTTCGAGTAGCTGTTGTCCATGTAACCCATGTTGACGCCTGCCCGGACATGAATAAGTCAATTATCGTTCTATTCATCGTTGCCGAATGAAAAAAAGAAAAAAACGTCCACTCTATTGTAGTACACGGTTCGACTTTTGTACGTTAATTGCTCGTTCAGCGTGAATCGTTTATAATCTACAGCGGAATTTTCGTAATTATCCCAACAATCGTTGGGCGGGGAAAAATTTTTTCGAACCGAGTTATCCGGAATTTTCGAGAGAAATTGCCCAACGACATCGATGAAATTAAAAACGACGGGGAATGCGACGAAATTCCTGTCTATCGGTATGTTTGGAATAGCCCCACGGCTGAGGTCCAAGGGAAATATTTAGTCTAGGCGTTAGATGCGCGGAAAACGTGCTTCTTGAAATGCAGATGTATATTTTGGAATAACAGACTCGAGTGTATATTCGAAAGGGGTCTATAATCGAAAGAAGCATTCGAGATATTCGTAGAGTAGAGGAACACGAGAAGGGACCGGTGGAAAGGAGTATGGAAGTAATCAAGGAAAATAGTAACGACCGTCATCAACTTTCCACCGAGACAATTCTACGTTAGTTAAATTATCTACACCCTGTATATACATAGTCCGACCTTAGGGGGAAGACACCACGTAAGAAATGGTGAATTGCAATTGCTACGGTAGAATCGTTAGAGTCACGAGAGAACTACGGTCACAGGAAGCATGAGCTCGTTAAACCGGGTCTACTTTATAACATTTTTTCCAACTCGCAAACCGAACGAGATACGACCACTGTCCTACTAAACTTCTCTCCCTCTGCTAACTTACCACAACCGAAATTAACATCGTAAAAAATTCCTCACCATTGATATTGTGGTTGGGCTGATGGTAACCGTAGCCCGGCTGCGAGTAAGCAGGTGTCTTCGAGTCTTCCATCGCTAAAGCATGGTCCAGACTGTGTTCTAACGCTTTGTTCTCCGCGTAGTAGGGTGGTGGTGCTTGGCTCTGTTGTCCGTTTCCGGCGACGAGACTCGGTCGTACCCTGTGTCACGAGTAAACAACGTGGAAATCTCATTCGAGGATCGTGGAAGAGAAATTCTCTCTCTTTCTGCTCCTCCACTGGAAAGCTCTTCATCCACTTGTTAAAACACTTACGCGTTCGAGTCCATCTCGTAGTCCTTGGCCTTGGTGGCGTGTTTTCGTCGACACCGACAAAAGAGCAAGAGCAACGCCGCAAACAGTAGAAACACAGCTCCGCTAACCACTAGAGCTATCAATGTTGGAGTTGCCAGGGCTCCTGACTGAGCTATGTACGATGGACCAACTGTCGTTGCGGAGAAAAAAAGAAAAATAATCTTAGATTAGAAAAAAAGAAAGAAAGATCTTCGAGTCGAAGGTTAAGAAGATTCGCTCACTCTCAGCCTCCGCGTAGTCGCCACACTTCTGCCTGTCTGCCTTTAGGCATAGCCTAACCCTGAGCCTAGGTTCCGTATCAAGAGCCTCCGGGTCGTCGAGGACGCCTTCCCTCTGCGTAGGAGCGCTTCCGAGCACTTCGAGAGGCCACTCGTCGAGAATCCTCCACTGAGACTCGTCCATGGACGACGAGGGACTGTCATACTTCTCGATCGACGCCACCAACGACAGGCAAGTGGCTGCAACACTGATGGCCAGCATCCCGCTCTCAGGATCGTAACTGATCCTCAACGGCGACGGGATCTTCGCGACAGCGGTTGTTGCAGTCACTTCGTCGGAGTAATCCGAATGATTCTTCGTGTTGTACACCTTCACCTTGAACGTGTACGTCTGATGTTGCTCCAAATTGGTCACGTTGCATGGATTCGATCTACGACAGTCTAACTCTAGCCATTGACCAGCCGGAGGTCTTGGTACCGCGCAATCAGGCGCCACGATTTCATCTCCACCTGGTACCCTTCTGTAGGAGACGAAATACTTGGTGATCGGTAATCCTCCGTCGAAGCCTAACTCCCAGAGCAAAGCTACGTGCGTTGGACCAACGTCCATTGCCGAGATATTTATCGGTCTCTCCGGTGCACCTTTCGGTTGCAACCTGATCGTGGAAGTGATACTTCCTTGAGCATTCGCGGCTCTACAACTGTAGTCACCGTAGTCTAATTCTCTAATGTTCGTTATCCTTAGTACTGATATGTACACGTCGTAATTGTCGCTGCTCGTAGAGATCTCGTAGTGTCCATCGCTGGACGAACCTTGCAGGCTAGCCGCGTTCGTACCGAAGCTCCATTGGAACTCCGGTTTAGGCCAGGCTTGTACTTTACAGGCTACCTCGGCTGTTTCTCTCAGATTATACGCGACCTTCCCGTGTTGATGCAACGCTATAGGCTCGTGTTCGACTTTCAACATCATCGTCGACTCGACTTTCTTCACTTCGTTCACGAACACACAGGTGTATTTCCCTCGATCGCTGGCTACGATCTCGTCTGTCTGCGGCCTTGCATGGCCCAAGAAACTAAGGGTAGAATTCACCGTGATCACGTTTCCGTGGCCTTCCGAGGCTGTTGTAGTCACTTTGTACAGTCTTTCGTCAGCGGTGAGCTCCTGGTCGTCCTTCAGCCATCTCACGCTCGGTCTCGGTTTCCCTTGCGCCACGCAGGACACTTGGAACGAGGATTCTCCGACCCTGTGAACGATTTTTCCCTCTTTCTTTTTCTGCTTTTTGTTTCGTTTAAACGCTTCACTCGTGTATCCAACGCACAACGCTTTGATTGTTAACGTTTAATTGAGCCTGGTTCGTCGTTAAAAATACAGAAGAACCATCAAAAGCAAGCAACTACCACGGCCGAGTGGACATACAGCGAGCTAATTCTTCTGTATTTTCAGCGAGCAAAGAAGGTAATTAAGTATTCCGTTTCTAGTGGAGCCCTCGTTATATTATTCGTTGTATCTCGTATAATTACGCTCCTGTCACGCGAGATATACGAAGATGAATTTCTTGTTACGAAGCTAAATACAAAAAAAAAAAAAAAAAAAAAAGAAGAAGAGGAAGGCGTGGTAAACTTCTACATTTCTTCCCAACGAAATTTTCAACTTTTATCTCCACCTCCCTCCTTCACTCTCCCGCACCTTTACTCTCGGTTATTTGTGAATTAATACGAGAGAATCCAGCTATATCCGCAAGTGTTCAAAAGTTTCTCTCCAGTCGACTTTTAAACCCGCCAGCTCTTAATCCCCCCGGCTTAAAGCACACCGACCCAATTTTCAGGCCGCGTTACGCGGTCCCCTGTTCCCCCCACTCCTCTCTCTCTCTTGCTACTCTTGATAGCATCCGAACTTTTGTCCGTCTTCTTGATAACCCCGATACACGGAACGCGAGACGAACACAGAGGATAACTCCGTAGAAAATACAACATTCCAACTAAACGCATACATATACATATATATATACTCACTTTCTGGTTACGTGTGGTTGAAGCTTCGTGAGGATCTTTGGTGGTTGGTGAACGGTGAGATTAACAGACGCAGCCTCTCCGTTGCCAATTTCATTGGTAGCGTGACACTTGTACGTTCCCTCGCTACCAAGGTGGACAGAATCGATCTCGTATCTCGGTCCAGTGTTCTCCGATGGCATGGAGATCGTCCCAGACTCTCCTTCCTTCCACCATTTGTACCTAGGCTCCGGGTAACCAGCTGGACTAGCCATACAGGTTAAGATAACTCTAGATCCTTCGACTGCAACCGGTGAGTCTGGCGTGACTCTCGCCGGACCAGGTTTGTGTCGTACGCGAACAGTCAACCTGGCCGAAGCTGAATAATTCCTTCTCTCCCCGCCGGACGGATGGATCGTGTTCACAGCGCGGCAGGTATAATTTCCGGCGTGATCGGCCGTGACGCGGCTCAATCGTAAGATCGAGCCAAGTTGTCGAAAGTCCGGTCGACCGTCTCGCAGCCATTCGATTACAGAAGGTGCTGGATTCGCTGTTACGTTGCAGTGTACGGTAACAGTATCTTCGACTTCGGCGATCCTCAGAGGATCTCCCTCGATCGAAACTTTCGGCGGATAGAGTACGTCTAGTAGAAGAGAACTCTCGCCTCTTTTACCAAGTCCATTGTCAGACTGACAGGTGTATTTACCGGAATCTTGAACGGTGACTCTTCTTATGGTATGCTGGAAACTGGTAGCAACGAAACTACCGTCTCTCCACCATCTAACCATAGCTACAACTGGTTTCGAGTCGACTCTACATTCGAGATTCGCCGTACCGTTCACCTCGACTTTCAATGGATTCTCTGGACCTACTGTTACTCTGGGGAAGTAATTCACGTCCAAAGTGACCGTGGCGTTCAGCGTGTCTCCCTCTCGCATAGCTCTGTTCCTCACGACGCAACGGAAACTAGCTCTATCGTCTTCTTTCTTCGGCTCCACCAGTAACGTTCGCCCGGAGTGAAGAATAGCGGTCTCGTTGCCGCGGTACCATCTCACTTCCGGTTCGGGGCTACCGCCGTTAGTATTGCACTGTAACTCCAGTTTCTGACCCTCGGTCGCCGACGCTGAAGTGGGAGAGATCGAAGGTGGTCCCGGTGCACGAAGGACAGTCAGAGTGATGAATTTCCGATGAAGATCGTGCCCTGTGCCGCTTGCTTTTACACGGCACTCGTACTTTCCATTGTCCCGCTCGTACGAGACGTTTCTAATCTGAAGGTCGTATCGGCCCTCCTCGAGATTCATGAACACCTTGTACTGCGGCGACAACGCTAGATTGTCGATTGCCGCGTTGTCGTGATTGTCGTTGGTGTGCGTCAACCAGAAACACGTCACGTTCTCCCTGGGCGGGGAAAAACGGCACTGCAGCTGCACGGTGGAACCCTCGTGCGTGTCCATCTGCGTCTCCTCCACGCGACCCTGTGCCGCTGCTGTAACAGAGAGAAGAAGAAAAAGAAATAGAGGAAACCTCGTTAGAAAAATTCCGATAGTCGCGTATGTGTGTATATTCGTCGACGATGGATGGCTCTCGTTTTCCTTTCATCTGCATTTTCTCGCGCCTGGCTTAGCGTCGTATTTACGGGACACCGTGTGGATTGGTACATGGGTGAAACTAGGTGTGATTCGAGAGATCGTATAAATAGAGCGCGAGTAATTTACAAGTTTGTATTTTCCTTCGTGACACAGAGAATTATAGCATCTTTTCGGTAATCGTGATGCATCGCTGCTGTTGTGTAATGCATAAATTGAATTTCCGATGAAAGAAAATTGCGACGGTGAAAAGTTCGAGTTTTCGAGATTACCTTAATAGAACACTTTGATAACTTCCTTACGTACACGTACAGTACACGTTGCCATTATCAATGTAAATACTTGCCACATTTTAACCACCGTTCACATTATAAAGCCCTATCGCGTGGTGTTGCATTTTAACCGTGAATCAATCCGCAACAACGTCCACGTAGATGTAAAACGATCGACGTCGCGACGACCAGACGATCCGTCGGTGTCTCGTCATTGGGTCGCGTAACGGTAAAGCCACCGGTTTGACTTCTCGCCGATATCGCGATACCTTTCTTTCTTCTACCTCCCTTTCCCCTCTTGTTCGCGACTTTAACCCCACTCTCATGTTCGTTTCAAGGGATCATTCCCCTCTTCTTCCTTCCTCTAACCACCTCTTACCTAACTATATCCATCTCTGTTTAACCTTTCTCTCTCACCTTTACACTCTCGTCGGAAACCTTTTCTCTGCCTATGCACCGAGTCTATATTTACGTGTCTGCTTGTCTCTCTATAAATCTATCTACAGCCGCGCGTCGGTTCTATCCCTCTTCCTTCGCTTCTATACATCCCCTTCTTAGCTATTCATCGACCCATCGCAGTTTACGTTTTCCCCTGCACAACCTCTCTCTCTCTCTCTCTCTCTTCGCCTCTAGCTTGTTTACTTTTCGATAGCACCGTTTTCTTGCTCGCATGCCATCGAGCTGCGCCGTTCGATTTCCTTCTACCGAGACACCCGCTATGCGTCTTGTACTATCTTTACGAGGAGGCCTGGTGAACCAGCGTTCTCTCTCTACGGTATACAACCGTGGAACATCGATCGAAATTCTGTGCATGTATGTATAGCGTATGGAAGAATCGAAACGACAGGCCACAGTTTGATAATGTATAATATACGTTCGAGTGATCGAAGAAGCAGCTGCTAAGCGGGACACGGTGTTCACGCGTCGCTCTTATACACGGAGACACCTGTGGCGGCCCAGTCTGCTACGTCACACGAAGCCTAACACCGTCGTCGTTTGGTATTTCCCGAACGGGAAGCTGCCTAAGCGAGCCTCGTTCTGCATACCGGACGAATTTACGACGAGTCCACTTCGAACAGCGTGAAATACGCCGGTTCCAAGCTCGTTAGTCCGGTATTCCACGGGCCGAAATCGCGTTTCCATTGGCCACTAGGAGAAAGGAGGCCTTCCTGCTTCTGCCACTGCGCCTTCCAGAGACAGAACGAGGCTCCTTTTCCTTCGAGCGCGTGTGTGTCCTGCTACACCTTTTAAACGCAGCGACGACTAGATAAGCAGTTGTTTTCGAGAATAACTTTTTTCTTTTTATTTTTCTAATTAATTCAAATAACATTTATTCGACCGACTATACGTTTAAGCGTCACCTATTTACTGTTTCGTTCAGGAGATAAGATATAGGATCAGCGTTTGATGTAATTCTCAGTTTGATGTGTTAGAACGAAGGCGAGGAGAAAAAGTGAATTTTTGTTACTAATGTAACTGGTTTCCCCCCGCATCTTTGCTACGATCTATGTCACGAGTTCTCGTTACAAAGCAAGCGGTTAACATCGTTTGCATTTGTCATCCGTGTGACTCGATAGGTATAAGATAAACGGTGTCACTTTTAATTTATACGTTGAAATAACGAAGGAATGTAAAAATAGCGAAACAGGATGAACAATTCGAGTATTTCTCGGAACCGTAGCTAGAGAAAATTCCGTATTACAATCGGCACAAGTAAATTCTTTCGTAATTCAGCAATACTCATTCAAGCAGCGCCTCAGATCGCTATCCACATGATTAAACATGCTAAAAGGACGCCTCTCGCCGTACAAACTGCGACATACCGACACTGCACGTCGCGATAGTCGCGACTGCTTCGACAAGGACTCTTTTTCCATCGTACACCTCGGAACCGTATGTCGTAAACCACCTTTCGTCAGTCGCGACGATGACGGAACACGCTTGTAACAACCTTTTTCTCTCTCTTACAACGTTCGATATATAAGCTTCGAACGGAAGGGGAGAATTAAAAAAAAAAAAGGGGGGGGAGGGGAAAGCCAGGTTCGATCGTTTCCATGAAAACGATAGGTAGAGAAGAGGATTTTTTATTCGAAGGGAGAATCTATCTACTCACCGAGAGGCAGGAGCAGCGCTGTAACGGCGATAATCGCCGCGGTGGCCGCCAGTCGGCCTATCCTATCCATTCTATCGGCGAAACGAACGGCTAGAGTGGTTCGAGTGGAACGGAACAACGAGAGACGCAAATTGCGCGGCTCCATTCGAGCTGGGGGACAGAGTTCCGCGTTGCACCAGCGACTTTCACCGTGTATCGACGATGACGCTGCACGAGTTTTACCAGCAGCGGCACACCGCGGCATCGATGATCGCATCGATCCTCTCTCGATCACGCTCGCCAACACACCGAGAAGAACACTCCACGCATCATCCTCCTTATCCGATATCTCCTCTTCCTTCACTACTACTAGAAACCCCCGCCGGTCACACTTTACTTATTCTCGCACTGTATTCTATCTCATTTCGTCGACAAATCGAGAGAGAGAAACAAAAAGAACTCTCTTCACTCGTAACGAATTTCTTATTTTTCAACTATCGAACGAAGATTTTGCTTCTTTCAACGATATAACGATCACTTGTAAATAGGACGAGGCGATACTTTCTTTCACTGTACTTTTTGCTTTTTATCACAACGTGAAGATTGACGAATAAATTTTGCCACCGTGGATAATTATCTCTCGAGTGATATTTCCTTATTGAAAATCGGCGAACGGCAAGGTTGATTTATCTTCACGAGTGACGAGGTATCTCTCCCATCTAACCGCTTGGCGTTTCAACGACTACCTGGAAGGTAGACCCACGCGCTCCGTTTCACGATCCACTGGTTCAACGGCTGCGTATCCCATCGTCCTGGATCCCCCGGTATATAGTAATAGAACGAAGCTTTCCCAGTAGCGATTTCTCAACAGACGGAGCAGCAGCAGGAGCGTACGATCGCCGAGAACGGCGAGGCTCGCACGGCGATTCCCATCGCGAGCATCCGTCCGGTCGCGCGTCGACCAAAAAGGAAGGTTTGCGCGCGATTTCAAAACGCCACGTTGCAACCGTCCGTACTGGAGGCGCTCCTTTGTTCCAGCTATGTACTCTGCACACCTTTCGCGGTTCGCTCGGATACACGACGTTCCTCCAACGCCTACCAGTGTGCAAACCCGCCGAAGTCTGGGAAACTCTTCTTCACTTGCCTCTCCCTGGAGTTTTCGCGAGACGGTGCAGAAATAGCGTCGAGAGGGAAACCGGGACGAAAATAAATTGAAAAATGTGCCAGTCAAGGGGTCAGAGAATGTTGCGTGTAAACTTTATATAGTGCAATGTATGTATAAATACACGTTTAAGGTTCGATGAAATATACGTTCGGTTCGAATTCAACGTATATAACAGAACCGTGTATTCGTAACGGTCACTTTTGTAATTTGGAGCGTTTTAAAAAAATTCCAGTAAGCACGATCAGCGTTGACACAAACGCACTCGACGAGGGTCGCGCGACGACTGAGCTTGGGGTCGCGTAGCATCGCTGCTACCCCCCACCGGTGGGCTTCCCCCTGTTAGCTGCGTCCCCCACTACGTGGCGCGTACAGCGCAACGTATATACAACCGGTCGGCCGCGATGCACGGTTGTCGTTGCTTCCAGAGGTAGGTATTATACGAGAGGAAAAGAAGAACGGTGTGTGCCGGAGGTTGGTGGTGGTGGTTATGGTGGTGATGGTAGGCGAAGGTGGCAGCGGCTGGACGGAAGACGAACGTGAAACGAATATACATTCCGAAGGGGGAGAAGGACGGGAGTATAGAGAGTTGGATGGTGTAAAGAAGAATAGGGGGAATGATGAAGACGAGGCAAGAGGGTGAAGAAGCCTGTGAGAGAGGGGAAGGGGCGAGGGGTTAGAAAAGGTAGAACGCGCGAGAAACAGCTTGCCCCCACCGACCTCTGCGGCAGGTGGTTCTTGCCGCCGTGGGCTAGGCCCATGAGACTGCCGAACCTTCACGCGACCGTCTGTCGTCGGGCTTTTTCGTCCGCGGCAAACCTGCTACCGAACCCCCGCGCGAAATTTTTTTCCCTCTTGCCGCTCGACAACCGCTAGGAATGATGATCGAGGATCAGAGGAGAGGATGAATACTCGAGGATACTTATTATGGGTTATCGAGAGGAATTTAAAGTATGAAGGATACGAGTGGCGGTGGTTTTTTAACGGTCGAAGGATGCGTCGCTTGTTTTTTTTTTTCGTTTTTCTTCCATCTCGATAACCGCTGTAAGCGATTGCACAATGAGCGAAGGGTAAGACGAGGAGGAGGAGGAATGTCCTGTTGATAGGTTATACTCGTTGCGGTTACCGAGAAGAATTTATAGTAATGAAGGGTAGGTTGTGGATTTTAGAGGGGAAGGTAAGGTGGTTTTGGAAGGCTAGGGCCAGATGAGGACGTGGTGGAACCGGACGTTCCTATTGATGGCTCACTTTCACGGATGCTCATCGTGGTTATCAAGAGGGATTTAGGAATTGGCCGAAAGAATAAGGGGAGAATCGTGAGGACCGGTGGTTTTTCGGCGGTCGAAGGACACCTCGGTGCAGCAGGTGTCCGTTCCACGGCGATCGCGCCTCCTCCTCGATCCACCCCGCGCTACCTGACGAAGGAACTTTCGGCCATCTGCTCCTTCCCGCTCTCAGGATCCCCCATTTTTCTAGGAATAAATATTCCCATCCACCTAGGCGGTCGCTCTCTCTCTCTCTCTCTCTCTCTCTCTCTACCTAGGAACCTTCCTTCTTCCGACGAAAGGTGCACGCGGACATATGGTTCGCGTGGAAATCGACGTTTCCCACCCCCGCACTCTACTATTTCGAACCGTGAGAGAGGCAACGAACAACGAGGGGACCAGTAGAAGGTGCAAAAGGGAGGGACGTGGAATGAAATCGAAGCTGGGTCTCGAGGACGCACAGGAGAGGGCCAGAGAACGAAGAGAGGACTCGACTGTGGATGGAAGTTGGACCCAGCCATGGGGAAACGCGTTTCGAGTCTGTTGGATTCGAGGTAGCTTGGTCGAAAAATCGAATAGCGAGCGCGACCTGGCTGCAGGAGCGGGGTGAAGTTTGCGCGCGGAACGCGTCGAAAATGCGCTTAATTAAACGGTAACGATTCACGTTCGCGGCCCGTTAACGAACCTTCCGTCCTGCAGCAGTGAACGGGGAGGCAACGGTCAGCGGGATAAGCCCGGCAGAATCGTCGAAATAATTGCGGCCACGATAATTGCGCCTCGATTCGAGTCGGTGCTGCTGCCACCCTCCACCTTCTAACTTTCGACCTGTCGATTAAAAGCGCGCGATTAAACGCGATGTCATTCTCCGCGATGAAACGTCTCTTCCGAGCGTCTTCGTTAGTGTGGGTCTTCGTCATTTCTTCCATCATTATAGTAAAGCAGCCGATATCGAGCTTTGCCTTCATTTTACGGTGCTGTCGGTTGGAAGATACAGCGAGAGCAAGTCAAATGCAAGAATAGTGGCGATCAAAGAAAAGGACGTAATTATTGTATTCAGTATGATACATTTGTGTAATTATTATCAACAAACAGGTGAAGATTTCCTGATTAAAATGAGCACAAACACGACCTCGTTTGGACAATTTTCCAAACTCGATCCGAAAATCTAAACACACCCGATATATCGCACTCGGCTGAAAATAGACCGAATATGGTCGTGTTCGGACTCATTTTAATCGATAAAATCTCACCTATCCATTGATAAACGGCGTGCAACAGAGAAATACAAAGATATTCATTTCCATTACAAAGTTCCTCCTCGCAATCTGCCCGTGAATCCTATTAGAAGGCAAAAGAGTGACGCCAACCCTACTCTTCTAGCAGATCCGAGGTTGAGGAATCGCACGCGAGTCGTTTAGCACGGAACGCGAGAGAGCAAGGTTAGCAAAAGAGTAGTGGAGGAGAAGAAAAAGCGATGGTGGCGCGAGGGCAGCCGGGCCTCGCAGCCTCCCGTGGCCGCCGCGGCCAGTCACGCGAACCATTAAAGATTCAAAGGCCCGGAGGGCGAGCAGATGGTCCCCGAACCGAGAAACGAGAATCGTGGAGAGATCGCGGAGAGAGAGAAGCAACAGCCTGAACTCGGACCCCGAAAGGAGGCGGCAGCCGGGGAATTATACTAGGAAGCGGCAACACCGCCGCACCACGGTTACGTCCTACGGTCGTCCGGTGACCGAGAGCTCCGACCCCTTCTCCACTCTGCCCTCAGCCACACGCTTCTCTTGAATCTCCGCCAGCTTCTTTTTTACGCTTATACGTTCGAATACGAGAACCTCTTTCTCTCTCCTTCCTCTCTTCCTCCCCCGTCCTCCTCTCTCTTCACAGCGACGCGTTCTCTCCTTCTCCATCTCGCGGAGGTGTGCTTCTTCGTCTCTCTTTTACCTGACACTCTCCTGGCAGGCCACTCTACCTTCCAACCTTCCAAACACGTCCGACAACGTCGCCTCCGAGATCTCGCAACGCCGTGAGGCCGCCAGCGGAGCTGGCAACCGTGCGGCATCGGGCCCCGTACTATACCCCAGGCCCAACTATGCCTTCGCTCTGCCTGCTCGACTTTCTTACCGTTACCATTCTAGCACGTGCGTTATCGGCGCCAGCCTTTGTTCCACGATCCACGGATACACACCACGGGGACATTGTCCGAATTGATCACGGCTGACACGGTCTAGAAGACGTTGACTCTATGACTAGAGAGAGAGAGAGATTTCCACTGGTGGGTTCGAAATGGTCTCCTTGACACTTCGATAACGAGCCTCTTGCGACACGTAGGCGATCGAGAAACATATATATATTTGTCAGAATGGAAACGTTTCTGCTTATCCAACCCATAAATCTTGGGCCTTAAGGAGCAGCTCTTCAGATGAGACTTTCTCAGAAACCTTCTCTCGAAACAGTTTCACCCTTTACGGCTCAGCTTGAAGAGGCTCAGAAGGTTCCTCGAAGAGGAACAATAAATTCCAAGTACGCTCTCAAGTGACCTCAAACTTTGTACTACCGTTTGGTACGACACTGGGAGTTATTATAGAACACTTTCGAACCCTAATTAGCGTCTAGATCGATTCTTCGGCTATCCCCCATAGTGAAGAATAGCGGAGAAGAAGAGACTGAAACCTGTCGCGAATCTCATCGTGGATAATCTTCCATTAGCAGGGAGACACTTTGTGTTTGCCAAGCTCGGACCACTCCTTTGTTTCGCCTCTACAATAGGATGCAGCTCTCGGTCCAGACGCTAAACCGGTCAGAGTGGCGTACCTGAACCTCCTGCCGAAGCATCGCGACGCCATAGGAGGAACG